ATACACAAATTGTTTTTTTTTTTTTTATGAATTTTTATTTATTTTTTTGTTACAGATATTTTACCTTTTTACCCCATTGGCACCCCCCCCCCTCCACCCTGTCCCCGGCTTAGTTGTCCATGTCCATTGGTCATGCATACATGCATATAAGTTCTGTGGTTTATCTCTTCCCACCCCCCACCCCCCATCCCCTCTTCTAAGGGATGTCAGTCTGTGCCCTACTTCCATGTGTCTGGGTCTACTGTATTCCTCAGACTGTTATGTTCATTATATTCCGTATATAAGTGAGATCATGTGGTATTTGTCTTTTTCTGCTTGGCTTCTTTCACTTAAGATAATACTTTCCAGGTCCCTCCATGTCGTCTCAAAGGATAAGAGATCTTTCTTTCTCACCGCTGCATAGTACTCCATTGTGTATATGTACCACAGCTTTTTTATCCATTCGTCTACTGGTGGACACTTGGGCTGTTTCCAGATCTTAGCTATTGTAAATAGTGCTGCTATGAACATGGGGGTACATATATTCTTCCTGATTGGTGTTTCAGGCTTCTTAGGGTATATTCCCAGCAGTGGGATCAATGGGTCAAATGGAAGTTCAATTTTTAATTTTTTGAGGTACCACGATATTGTTTTCCATAGCGGCTGCACCAGTCTGCATTCCCACCAGCAGTGTATTAGAGTCCCCTTTTCTCCACACCCTCGCCAACACTTGTTGTTTGATGATTTGTTGATGGCGGCCATTCTGACAGGTGTGAGGTGATACCTCATTGTTGTTTTAATTTGCATCTCTCTGATGATTAGTGATGTTGAGCATTTCTTCATATGTCTCTTGGCCATACACAAATTGTTTTTAAAACAGCTTTAGGTTTGCAAAAAATTGAGAAGATAGTACAAAGAGTTCCCATACACCCCACATGCAGTTTCCACTATTATTATATTAGTATGGATACATTTGCCACCATTAATGAATCAGTATTACTATATTGTCATTAACTAAAAGTCTATAGTTTATTCAGATTTCCCTAGTTTTTACCTATTTTTTTTTTCTGTTCTAGGATCCCATACATGATACCATATTATATTTGGTTCTCATGTTTCCTTAGGCTCCTCTTAGCTGTTACAGTTTCTCAAACTTTTCTTCTTTTTGATGATCTTGGCAGTTTTAAGGATTATTTGCCAGGTATTTTATAGGATGCCCCTCTGTTGGAATTTGTTTAATGTTTTTGTCATGATTATATTAGTTTTATGGTTTGAGGGAGGAAAACCACAGAGGTAAAATGCCATTTTGATCACATGCTATCAAGGGTACCTAATATCAATGTGATTTATTACTGTTGATATTGACCTCTATAGGTCAGCCAAGGGACTGTGTGTGTGAGACATAGGGTGACCATTGTCTCAGGGGTGGCCTAGACTTTTCTTTTTTCTTTTCCTTTATTGATTTCTAGAGAGAGAGAAAAGGAGAGAGAGAGAGATAGAAACATTGATGAGAGAGAACATCAATTGGCTGCCTCCTGCATGCCCCCTACTGGGGATTAGGCCCACAACCTGGACATGTGCCCCGACTGGGAATCAAACCTGCAACCTCTTGGTGCATGGGTCAGTGCTCAACCACTTAGCCACACCGGCCTGGCTAGACTTTTTTTTATGAGCATAAAATTTCTTCTCTTGCTCATAGCTTAGCCCCATTTTGATTTTTTAAAAATTCCTTGTTTTTCCCTGGCTGATTTGGCTTAGTGGTTGGAGCTTTGACCTTCAGATCAGAGAGTCTCAGGTTTGATTCCGGTCAAGGGCACATGCCTTGGTTGCGGTTCGTCCCTGGCCCTGGTAGGGGTCGTGTGGGAGGTGACCAGTCAATGTGTTTCTCTCACATCGATGTTTCTCTCTCTCTCTCTCTCTCCCTCCTACTGTATCTGAGGATAAATGGAAAAATGTCCTCAGGTGAGGATTGGGAAAAAAAAAAAAAAAATTCCTTGTTTCTAAAAGCTCAAACAATCCCCAGCAGTTACCTCCTTCCCTGACTTTCTCTTCAACTCATTAGGTTCTGTCATCTCTAGTGTTCCTACCCACCACTCAGCTCCTCTTAAAAAATAAGATGCTTTGCTTTGGCTGGTGTGGCTCAGTTGGTTGGTCATCATCTCATGCTACAAAAGGTTGCTGGTTTGATTTCGGGTCAGGTCACATGCCCAGGATGTGGGCTCAAACAGTAGAGGGTGTGCAGGAGGCAGCCAGCTGATCGATAATTGTTCTGCTCTCATAACAATGTTTCTCTCCTTCTCCCTTCCTTTCTCTCTAAAAATCAATATATATATATGTAAAGGATGCTTCAATTTTTACTAACATTTACTGAACACCTATTATGTACACCCTGTTAGGCCAACACTGTGTGAAATTATTTAATGAGAAGCAGCTTGATGTATGGAAAGAACTCAGGCTTTGTAATTTTTTTAAAAAATATTTTTTTCTTTATTGATTTTAGAGAGAGAGGAAGGGAGAGGGAGAGAGAGAAACATCGATGAGAGAGAACATTGACTGGCCTCCTCCTGCATGCCCCCAATTGGAGATCAAGCCCACAACCTGGGCATGTGCCCTGACTGAGAATTGAACCAGTGACCTCTTGGTGCATGGGTTGATGCTCAACCAGTGAGCCACACCAGCCGGGCCAGGCTTTGTAATATTAAGACTTGGGTTGGAACCACAGTCCAGCCCAACTAACTATGCAATCTTGGGCAGGTTCCTTTACCTTTCTTAGCCTTGGCTTCTTCTTTTTCTCTTTAAACAAAAATTTTATTTTATTGATTTGAGAGAGATAGGGAGGGAGAGAAAGAAAAACATTGATTTGTTGTTCCACTTAGTTATGCTTTCATTGGTTGATTCTTCTATGTGACCTGGCCAGGGATCATACCTGCAGCTTTGGTACATCAGAAGGACGCTATAACCAATTAAGCTACCCTGCCAGAACTGCCTTGGCTGCTGCTGCTTCTTTTAAAAATCCTCACCCTAGGATATTTTTTCATTGATTTTCAGATAGAGTGGGAGGGAAGAAGGGAAGGAGAGAGAGAGAGAGAAACATCGACTGGTTGCCTCCTGCACGACCCCAACCAGGACTGGGGACAAATGGCAACCAAGGTACGTGCCTTGTACCGGAATCGAACCCATGACTCTTTGAACTCGAACCCGTGACTCTTCAAACTCATGACTCTTGTCCACGGACCCACTCTCTAACAGTTGAGCCAAATTAGCCAGGGCATCTTGGCTTCTTCTTAAATTGAAATGGTATTTGCCTCACAAGATGTTATGAGGAATAAAAACTTTTTCTTAATCTTCACATTCATTTCTATTAAAACAATTTCCTATGACTACATTTTTATCTTTTTAAAAAATATATGTTTTCTTTTTTTTTTTTTTTATCCTCACCCGAGGGCATTTTTCCATTTTTTTTTTTTTTTCTTCTTTTTTTTTTTTTTTTTGTCCTCACCCGAGGATATTTTTCCATTTTTTTTTTTGTACAGATAGAGTGGGAGGGAGAGAGAGGAAGGGAGAGAGAGAGAGAGAAACATCGACGTGAAGGGACACATCGAGTGGCTGCCACCCGCACGACCAACCAGGGCCGGGGACAAACTGCAACCGAAGTACGTGCCCTTAGCGGGAACCGAACCCGGGTCTCTCTGGACCGCAGGCCGACGCTCTAACTGCTGAGCCAAACCGGCCAGGGCCATTTTTCCATTTTTTGTTCAGGCAGAGTGGGAGGGAGAGAGAGGAAGAGAGAGAGAGAGAGAAACATCGACGTGAAAGGAACACATCGAGTGGCTGCCACCTGCAAGACCGACCAGGGCCGGGGACAAACTGCAACCGAGGTACTGCCCTTAGCGGGAACCGAACCCGGGTCTCTCTGACCGCAGGCCGACGCTCTAACCGCTGAGCCAAACCGGCCAGGGCAAAAATATATGTTTTCTTAAATTATTTTTTAGACAGAATGGAAAGGATAGAGAGAGAAACATCCATGTGAAAGCGAAACATCTATCCTCCTACTGCATGCCCCCTACTGGGGACCGAGCCCACAACCTGGGCATATGCCCTTACTAGGAATCAAACCAGGATCTCTCAGTCCATGGGATGACTCTCAATCCACTGAGTAACACCAGCTTGGCTGACAACATTTTTTTTTATCCTCACTGGAGCACATTTGCATTTATCTTGAGATTGAGCCAGAGGGAGAAATGGAGGAAGAGAGAGAGAGAAACATTAATGTGAGAGAGACACATTGACTGGTTGCCACCCACACGACCCCAAACAGGTCCGGAGACAAACTACAACTGAGGTATGTGCCCTTAGTGGGAACCGAACCTGGGCCTCTCTGGTCCGCGGGTTGACGCTTCTACCGCTGAGCCAAACTGGCCAGGGCAATGACTACCTTTTTAAATGCTGATATTTATTCCTATAAAACACAGCACATTTTTTTTGTGACTTCTGTTTTAAATCATTTAGGACTTTGGAAGACACCATCATCTTTAAAAAATTGTCCCGTCAGGACACTACTTATATACGGCTCTCAACTATAAATTTCCCATTTATAAAAAAAATCGTGATAAAAAAGAAAGAAGGAAAACAGAAGGAACTTGAGACAATTTCCATGGAAATACCAAGTTTGGTCGAGGAGGCTTCGCCCATTCTCGTTTTCTATTGGCTAAACTTACCGTCAATTGCACCAGTTGTAAATAAACTGGAGACGGAAGCATGTTAAAGGGTGGAATCTTCCTGTCGCCATTGCTACTGTGAGAACTGTATTCTAATAGGAGGAAAGCTGCTGCTCCCGCCCTTTCATATCAGTTGCTTAGAGGCAAGATTAGAGGGTCCGTAAAGGGACTGCGTGTTGAAAGCTCCGCTAATCCGATTGGTTGTTATGGGGCGGGTCTTGTAACGGATAGGTTGCTGGCCCTGCCTGTTCGGGATTAGTTGCTGGGGAGAGACACGTGAGGAGGTGGAGGCGTAAGGCGACTATGGCGGGAGGAATGAAAGTGGCGGTCTCTCCTGCAGTTGATGCCGGGCCCTGGGGCGGGCGGACGGGTTGCGGTGGGGCAGTGCGGCTGCTCCTGGTTCTCTCTAGCTGCTTCGTCTGCGGCACAGGTACTGCCGGGGCAGCAGCTGCCAAGGGGGCGGGTGTCGAGGGGGTTACATTCAGAGAAGTGGGGAGCGTTCCGGGGCGCGGCCAGTTACTCTGCGGAGTGGCGCGGGCGTACGGAGAGAAAGAAGCTTGGTCGTCGGAGAATGGGCGTCGGCACTAAGGGGTCAGGGCCTGGGGCAGCGTGGTGGAGCTGCCCAGAGTGGGGAGGAGCCTGGAGCATTTTGGCAGAGACAGGAAGGGAGGCCTGAACTAGGTGAGAAGCGGTCCCAGGGGCTGCGTTGCGCTGCAAGGGCCTCCTCGAGTTTCCTGGTTAAAAGGAGGGAGACCCGAAGATCTTTCCGGGTAGGCAGAGCTGCCGCTGCAAAGGGAGCATCCCATTCATACAGCAGATTAGCAACACCTTCTGAGTGTATGCTTTATCAGGATTTGAGGTATGCGTGGCTGAAATGCAGTAATCTCTATCTAATGTCTTCTGTCCTTGTAAGGTCCTGGCTCCTACAAACCCTACAGAATGGACCTGGAGCCGTTGAATTCTCATGTCAGGGGAAAAAAAAAATACAAGCGCCATTTAGCACGAATAGTTTTCTTTTGGAAATTTAATTCCTTAAGCAAATTTATTTGATACTACTGGATAATTGGCTTTGGACTGCGTTGAAACTTTTCCCTTTCTGCTCTAATACAGAAAACCTAGATTGTAAGAACCTCCATCTATCCGAACCCCCTTGTCGTTAAATGCACAACAGAAAAGTGAGGTTTCCAAGGGAACCTCACTGAAGGGAGCTGAAACTCACGGGGTTAAAGATAATTGTGTTCTGTATGCACATACTGTGCTTGTTTGTTGCCTATCTCAAGTTGCCACTTATGGTTATCTTTAGCAGCAGCTTTAAGGTTGTCTCAGGATCCATGCATCTAGTTCCAAAGCCCAGCGTCCTTCTGAAACTTTTTGTATTTAAGGGAGAGGAGAATAGGTATCCAGGAAGGTACTTTTCTAGAGGCAGGGCCCAGAGTAACATTTATTTGAAGGGCTGTTTATGATCTGAATGAACTTGGGTCAGATAGTTAACCTCTAAAATGGGGTTGTGGATTGTGGGGATGAATGAGAAAATATACACAAAAATGTTACATAGAGCTCTATCAGAAATCCCTTTAAGTTTCCTTAGTGGAGAGAAGGACAGGTAGGTATAGGCTGAAAGAAGGGTAAACTTGGGGGATGATACTTGTTATGTGTGACCTGATAGATCATGTGGGTGGCAGCTATAAAATGACAATCATGTAATAGAGAGGACCTTTCTAAAAGTCAGAGGTATCTGAAAACAGTGGAGTACCTCAAAAGGCAGGGAGTTCTTTCTCACTGGAAGTTTTTGAAAAATTTGATTACAAAAATAATCTGTTTATTTTACACTACATGGCAAGTACAGTGAAGTAGAAAGAAGTAGAAAAAACCCTCACTGTTTATTCCATGCAGAGGCAATCCATTTTAGCACACTTTCTTTTTTTTTTTTAATTTTTTTCTTTCTTTATTGATTTGAGAGAGAGAGGAAAGGAGAGGGAGAGAGAGAGAAACATCAATGAGAGAGAACATTGATTGGCTACCTCCTGCGCCCCACTGGGGATTGAGCCCACAACCTGGGCATGTGCCCTGACCAGGAATTAAACCAGTGAGGGTTTTTTCTACTTCATTGTACTTGCCATGTAGTGTAAAATAAACAGATTATTTTTGTAATCAAATTTTTCAAAAACTTCCAGTGAGAAAGAACTCCCTGCCTTTTGAGATACTTCATTGTTTTCAGATACCTCTGACTTTTAGAAAGGTCCTCTCTATTACATGATTGTCACTTGGTGCATGGGTCGACGCTCAACCACTGAGCCACACCAGCTGGGCATTTTAGCACACTTTCTTCAGATATTTTTCCACATGCTTTAATTTAAAAAATTTTTAAAAATTGATAATACATTCATATTCCTGTCAGCAATCCAGTTCTCTTCCCTAGAGGCCATCAGTTATTACCAGGGATAGTTTTCTCATTTGATTTTATAGCATAAGCATTTTCCTATATCACTTAAAATTCTTTATAAATGTTATTTTTACTTATCTGGACAGATCATTTATTTAATGTTTCTGATTAAACATTTGGTTGCATATTTGTGGTGTTTCTAGCTTTTTTTTTTTTCCCTTTTATTGATTTTTAGAGAGAGAGGAAGAGAGAGAAATAGAAACATCGATCAGAGAGAACATCAATTGGCCTCCTCCTGCATGCCACCCACTGGGGATTTGGCCCAAACCTGGGCATGTGCCCTGATCGGGAATCTAAACGGCGACCTCTTAGAGGTGCATGGGTCAACACTTAACTACTGAGTTATACGGGCCAGGCTGTTTCTAGCTTTTAATTGTAGGTAACACTTTGTATATAACTTTTTTTATTGCATTCGGATTTTTTTTTTTAGGGTAGATTCTCAAACGTGGATTTACTAGATCAATAGCTAAAATATATTTAAGACCTTTGAAACATCTTGCTAAAGTACTTTACTGAAAAGTTGTGTCAGGTTGCACCACTATCAGCAAATACTTGCTTGTGACACTTGACAGCACTGGATATTCTAAACTGTAACACCTTTGCTAATTTGATAGATTGAAAGTAGTATCTTAATGTACTTTGCATTTCTTGCATTATTTGTGAGGAAGCATCTGTAAACTGTTTATTAGCTATTTAATTTTCTGTTTTGACTTTTGAATCTTTTGGAGTTTCTGTCCCTTGTTCTTGGCCTATTTATTATGATTTATATTTATTGTCATTTTTGTGGACTTTTAAAATTTTTTTTCTTCATTGATTTTTAGAGAGAGGAAGGGAGAAGGTGAGAGACATAGAAACATAGATAGAGCCCTGGCCGGTTTGGCTCAGCGGTTAGAGCATCCGCCTGTGGTCCGGAGAGACCTGGGTTCGGTTCCCGCTAAGGGCATGTACTTCGGTTGCAGTTTGTCCCCGGCCCTGGTTGGTCGTGCGGGTGGCAGCCACTCGATGTGTCCCTTTCACATCGATGTTCCCCTCTCTCTCTCTCTGTTCCTCTCTCTCCCTCCCACTCCATCTGTGCAAAAAATGGAAAAATGTCCTCGGGTGAGGATTACAAAAAAAAGAAAAAGAAACATAGATAGAGAACATCAATTGGCTTTCTCCTGCATGCCCCTCACTGGGGATCAGACCCACAACCTGGACATGTGCCCTGACCTGGAATTGAACTGGCGACCTCTTGGTTCATGGGTTGATGCTCATCCACTGAGCTAGCCAGGCAGATTTTTGTGGACTTTTACAATTATTTGTAGAAACTTTTTTATATATTAAGGATATATATTTATACTCTTGTTTATTTATTGCAGAACTTTCATTTGTTTGCCCCCCCCCCCTTTTTTTAAATCCTTACTGGAGGACATGCTGAGAGAGACACCCGTCAGTGTGAGAGACAAACATTGATTGATTGCCTTCTGCATGTGCTCCAACCTAGGATTGAACCCTCAACTGGGTTGGAACCAGAAACCCTTCAGTGCATAAGATGATGCTCAACCAACCGAGCCACTCTGGCCGGGTTTACCTTTTTTTCCTTATCCTCACCTGAGAGCATTTTTGTATTTTTATCTTGAGATAGAGTGGGAGGGAAAGAGAGAGAGAAAGGGACATATCGAGTGGTTGCCACCCACACGACCCAAGCAGGGCCGGGGACAAACTGCAATCGAGGTACGTGCCCTTAGCAGGAACTGAACCCAGGTCTCTCTGGACCACAGGTCGACACTCTAACTGCTGAGCCAAACCGGCCAGGGCAAGATGCTAGTTTTTAAGGAGGCTTTTAAGTATGAACTGGATTGCCTCCTTACAGAAATGAATAGAGACTATTTAAGAGTTAGAAGAGATTGTTTTTCATAACTTTTTAGGGTCCATTCTGGTCCTCACATACTATAAATCATTTTTTTAAAAAAACATTTTATTTATTTGTTTTTTATCCTCACCTGAGGACATTTTTCCATTTTTTGTTTAGATAGAGTAGGAGGGAGAGAGAGGAAGAAAAAGAGAGAGAAAGAAAGAAACATCGACGTGAAAGGGACACATCAAGTGGCCACCACCCACACAACCCAACCAGGGCCGGGGACAAACCGCAACTGAGGCACATGCCCCCAGCGAGAACCAAACCCAGGTCGCTCTGGACCGGTTTGGCTCAGCAGTTAGAGCATCAGCCTGTGGACCAGAGAGTCCTGGATTCGGTTCCCACTAAGGGCATGTACCTTGGTTGCAGTTTGTCCCCAGCCTCGGTTGGGGTCGTGTGGGTGGCAACCAGTCGATGTGTCTCTCTCACATTGATGTTTCTCTCTCTCTCCCTCCTGCTCTGTCTGAAGATAAATGCAAAAAAATGTCCTCGGGTGAGGATAGAAAAAAGATAAAAAAACAAAGGTATGTTTGTATTGATTTTTTTAGAGAAAGAGATAGAAACATTGATGTGAGAGAGAAACATCCATCGGCTGCCTTCTGCTGAGCCAAACTGGCCAGAGCTGAATCATTTTCATTACCTTCTATCTATAGATGTTAATTGATCAGTGCTGTTGATTGAAAAGTAAGTTTGTAATGATCATAAGTAAACATAAAGTTATTAACCTTTGAATAGCTGCTTTATGGGTAAATAAAGTAAGTAAGTTGTGATTCATTAAATTGTAAGAAGGCAGTTTTCTGTGAAGAAGTAGATCTTTGGGTTCAGAAAGCATTTTCCTTAATATTTAATTCATTCTGCCTGTTTTTTTTTTTAATCCTCACCCAAGGACACTTTTGCATCCATCTTCAGATAGAGCGGGAGGGAGAGAGGGGGGAAGAAAGAGAGAAACATTAATGTGAGACAGACACATCAACTGGTCGCCACCCACACAACCTCAACCGGGCTGGGGACAAACTGCAACCGAGGTACATGCCCTTAGCGGGAACCCAGCCCAGGGCTCTCCGGCGGACCAACGCTCTAACCACTAAGC